TTTTTTTTTGTCTTTTTGAGACAGGGTCTCACTCTACCGTTCAGGCAGAGTGAACTCACTTCGTAGCCCAGGCTGGCCTTGAACTCATAGTGAGCCTCCTGCCTCAGCCTACCAAGTGCTGGGAACACAGGCGTGTGTTACCAGGCTCAGCTAAAATAATTTGGGGGGGGGCTGGGGATATAGCTCAGTAGAATAAGTGCTTACCTGGCAAGTGCAAGGGCCTGAGTTCAATCCCTGGTTCCGCAAAAAAAAAAAAAAAAAAGTAATTTTTTTGTAAATTGTCGTAACACTGACCTGACACACGTGGCCTTGTGGCCAGTGCAGAGATTCGGCTTGAACTAGCACGGGGTACCTTGTCTTGAGGACTGAAAGACAGATGGACATTGTGGGCGGATGTTAGCAGAGCGGCTGGCATGACGGAGAAAGCAGGGAACTTTTGGAGCCGAGAGCACGTGCTCTTCCATGTCGGGCTTTCCTCCTCCTTCCTGGACAGAGGTTTCTGATTTTGTTCTATTTTTTTGAGGCAGGGTCTCACTATACAATTTAGGCTGGTCTTGAACTCATAATGTAGGTAGTCCTCCTGCCTCAGGCTCCTGAATGCTGGGATTACAGGTGTGCGCCCTCACACCTGGCTAGGAGGGGGAATTTCTTAGTGAAGACCTGCTCAGTGAGGAGGGTGAGCTAGGTGCTGCAGGGAAGGGCAGGTACAGAGGTCTGCTGGTAGGAAGGGGAGGAATAGAGCTGGAGACAAATGGAGGGGCTCGAGGGGAGGGACACTCGGGACCAGGCCCTCCCCCCCGCCAAGTGGGGCAGGCGATCTCTGAGGGCTCGGGGAACCTCAGGGGTTTCCGCAGGGGCTCAGGGAGGCAGTCCTGATGCTGCCAGGTCTCCCGGCAGCTCTCCCCACCTGGTGCAGGTGCGTGAGCGGATCCGCATCAATGGGCAGCCCATCAGCTGCGACCTCTTCACCAAGCACTTCTGGCGCCTCTACCGGCGGCTGGAGGACACAAAGGCACGTGAGCTGCAGGGCTGGCTGGCGGGCTGGGGAGGGGAGCCGCAGCTGCCAGGACCCTGGTGCCCAGTCCAGGTGCTGTGGGCCCTGATGCACCCCTGTGCTGCAGGACGGCAGCGGTGCGTCCATGCCCACCTACTTCCGCTTCCTCACGCTCATGGCCTTCCATGTCTTCCTCCAAGAGAAGGTACGTAGTGTTCCACGCTGCCCCGCTCATATGGGACTGGCAGCTGAGAAGGCTGGGGATCCTGCTCCCGGGTGACACCCGGGCACCTCTTGGCCCTGTCATGCTGTCTGGCCTCCTGCAGGTGGACCTGGCAGTGGTGGAAGTCGGCATAGGTGGTGCTTATGACTGCACCAACATTGTCAGGTGAGCGCAGCTGCCTGGGGATAGGGAGGGGCCAGGAGCCAGACCTGGCCTGGTGCCTGGTGGCTCAAGGCAAGGGGCATGGTGGCCCTTTTGTCACCTACAGGAGGCCTGTAGTATGCGGAGTGTCCTCTCTTGGCCTCGACCACACCAGCCTTCTGGGGGACACAGTGGAGAAGATCGCGTGGCAGAAAGGAGGCATCTTTAAGGTGACCGAGGAGGCTGGGGGAAGGCAGCTGGGCAGGTCTCCTGCTGGGGCAGGGCCGTTTGTGTCCTCAGGAGGAGGTCCTGAGGTCCTGAGGTCCTGGCCTTCAGCACAGCCGGGGTTGCTTGGTTTGCTTTGGTTTTGATTTTGTTCTTTGAGACAGTCTTGCTAAGTAGTTCAGGCTAGCCTTGAACTCCGTAGCCAAGGCTTAACTTGAACTCAGGTTGGTGCTCCTGCCTCAGCCTCCTACGTGCTGGGAGCCAGGCGTGCGCCACTCACTGTGTCTGGCCCAGAGCTGGGTTCCTGCCTTTACTGTGTAGCTGCAGCCAAGTTGAAGGTTCCTTTGGCCTTAGTTTCCCCACTGAAACATGAGCAATGGGAGGCCAAGGGGCAGACCAGGCCAGGCCTGTGGGCACGGGAGAGGGCTGGGTGCATGCCCCCTGGCTGCCCCTGCCTCACCCTTCCTGGCCTGCCCACAGCCTGGCATCCCTGCCTTTACGGTGCTGCAGTCGGAAGGGCCCCTGGCGGTGCTGAGGGAGCGCGCCCAGCAGATTGCGGTGAGTCCCATTGTGCAGGGTGGGGAGGTGTTATGCACTAAACAAGCTGGGCCACCCGCTTGGGCCCCAGAGCCCATCTCTCCTGGAGCCGAGGCACAGTAGTGCATAGGTAGTGATGGAAGGGCCACTTGGCCAAGGAGGCAGTGGCAGCTCTGCTGAGAGCCACTGCCCACTGCCCCCCCAGTGCCCCCTTTACCTGTGCCCACCCCTGGAAGCCCTGGAGGAAGGGGGGCCACCGCTGACCCTGGGCCTGCAGGGTGAGCACCAGAGGTCCAACGCAGCCTTGGCTCTGCAGCTGGCCCGCTGCTGGCTGCAGCAGCAGGAGCACCGGGGTGAGTGGCAGCTGGGGGCAACAGGCGGGCAGTGCGCGGGGAGCCTGCTGACTAGGGGGCCCCTGAGCACACTGGGCCTTGCATCCCACAGACCTTGGGGAGCTGAAGACATCCAGGGTGAGTGGCTCCTGGCAGCTGCCCCTGGCCCCCGTGTTCCAGCCCACGTCCCACATGTGCCACGGTGAGTGGGACCTGCCCAGTTAGGATGCCCCCTGCTCTAAAGTTTCCTGAAAGGGACACGGGGGTGGTTCAGGGTGGTGCTTCCTGACTTTGACTTGCAGAATCTATTCAAGCCTGTTTCCCCATGTGCCAAATGAGATGAGGATGGGACCCCCAGCCAGGGCCTGTTGTGAGATGCCTGGAGGGTGAGGGTGAGGGCCCCATCTGTGAGCACAGCTGTTCCTGTCATTGTCACTAGAGGTGATGCTGCTGCCATGTGTTTCTTAGGCCCTAAAGCCCTACACATTGTAGGTGCTGGTGCTGTTAGACCCTCCAGCAGATGATTTCTCTGTGCTCTCCGGTGCCACGCTGAGGTCAGGGTAGCTGCGAACTTGGGCTCCGGCTGTCATGGGGGATAGCATGTCAGCAACCCCTTCTCAGGGTGACCTGGAGGATTCCACCAGTGAGGTAGCCTGAGCTCTGATCGGCTCCCGCTGCAGTGACTGGGCTGATGCGATTCTCAGAGGCGCGGTCTGCCAGGTCCGCAGGCGTTAGCTTTGTGCAGAGTGGAGGACTGGGCCGGAGAGGATCCCCCAGCACCACCTTGCCCGCTCTCACTAGGGCTTCAGAACACGGAGTGGCCGGGCCGGACACAGGTGCTGCAGCACGGGCCCCTCACCTGGTATCTGGATGGTGCGCACACCACCAGCAGCGTGCAAGCCTGCGTGCGCTGGTTCCGCCAGGCACTGCAGCGCAACCAGAGGCCCACCAGGTGTGTGTGGGTGGGGGGAGCCTGCAGGGAAGGGTGGGGCCCAGCAGGAAGGGCAGGGCTTGGGGTGGCTAGAGTGGACCTGTGGGAGGGCAGCGCCCCTCTGACCCCCTTCCTTGTCCCTGGTGCAGTGGGCCAGAGGTGCGGGTCTTGCTCTTCAACTCCACAGGGGACAGGGACCCCGCAGCCCTTCTGAAGCTGCTACAGGTGAGGCCCCAGCTTGGCGGAGAGTCGGCAGGCAGCCCAGCAGCAGCCCTGGTCCTGGCCATGTGGCCACTAGCTAGTGCCCAGTCCCCCCCCCCCCGTGGCACTGGGGTTACGTGTAAGGCAGTAGGTGCGTGGGGCAGCCTGGTTGTGTATAGGCCATGGGCACATTCTCTGGGGTTAGGAAGAGCCATATGGTGGGGGAAGGTAGCCACTGCCCCACGGGGGGACAGAGGTGTCCTTTTCCTGCACATCAGTTTGCCACTCCGTGAGAGGGGTTGCCCGTAAGTGTCCCTGCTTCAAATTTGGTTTCAGGAATCACCGAGCTCTAAGGAATAGAGAGGCCTTTCACAGAGTGGGGAAACTGAGGCTGTTATAGGCTGGAGGGTGGAAGTAGGTCTTGGAGATTATCTCCCATTTCACAGGCCAGGAAGCTGAGGCAGTTCATACCAGATCTTGTCCCTGTGCAAATCCCTTTCTTTTCCCAGTATGGATTTGGGGTGACGCTCAGCTGGGTGACCTTGAGTGAGTACACCCCAGCCCCCAGCCTCCTATTTCCCAGCTGTGCACAGGCTGCACCTTTGTCACCAGGACACAGGCCAGGCAGGGAACACTGAGGAGGGCAGGGCAACAGCAGTGCTCTAGCCCAGGGAGGGCTGTGGGGCGTCGCGAAGTCGGGCGGGGGCATCGTCTGACCTGAGTCCTTGGCCTTCTAGCCCTGCCAGTTTGACTATGCTGTCTTCTGCCCCAACCTCACAGAAGTGTCGTCCCCAGGCAGTGCAGGTGAGGTGGGACAGGTGTGGCCCTCGGGGTCACAGGGCACTGAGGGGCCTGAGGTGGATGCTGTGTGGTAATGTGATGGGGAGGTTTCCAAACTGCAGCTCTGGCCTGGGAAGCTGGTTGTTTTTATTGTACAAATGCTCTTTGGTACATTTTGAGTTTAGGTAAGTGCCAATAGTGCAAATGAATTCTATTTTATTTTTTTGCGGAACTGGGGATTGAACTCAGGTCCTTGCGCTTGCCAGGGAAGCGCTCATTCCACTCAGCCATCTCCCTGGCCCTGAATTTTAAAAATTACTGTTATTGAAATCAATTTTGGGGGAGTTCAACCAGCATTTACTTTGAATAAGATAGAGTAGAGCTGATATGGTTAGGGACACCCATAATCCCAGCACTCTGGGAGGCTGAGGTGGGAGGATCAATAAGTGTGACCCCAGCCAGGGTGACCGGTGATTTAGTGACTCTGTGGCAGAATAAAAAACAAGAAAGGGGCTGGCGATGTATCTCAGTGCATAGGCTTTGGGTTAAATTCCTACTACTGGAAAAAAAAAAAAAAGGTAGAATAGGAAGTATCATGATGCAGTGCACAAAATAAGGGTAGATATTGTTTGCTGGTAATTGTGTTCCAGAATATGTGAATTTACAGTGTATATCACGTTGAAAAACAACTTGGAGCCAGTTGATATGGGCCCGTGATTGGCACTTTTAACACTGTCCAGGGCGAGTCTGGAAGGAATATGTAGATATATGATGGTTTTTAGTCTTACTGTGCAGTTGAGGCTGGCCTTCACCGCACAGCATGGTCCGGACTGGGCTTGAACTTGCGGCAGTCCTCCTGCCTCAGCCTCCCGAGTGCTGGGGTTACAGGAGTATGCCACCATACCTAGCAGAAGTCTGTATTTTAACCAGCCTCCCAGAAATAATAAGACCACCTGGATACCCAGCTGACAGCTGAGGACAGCAAGGTCTGGCCATGCCCCCAGACCTCAGGGAAGCAGTTGAGCTTGCGTAAGCCTCAGTTTCCTCATTGTGTCCACCGTGGGGACCTGTGGCAAAGGCTGATGGCACTGTGTCGGAAAAGCCTGGTGTGCCAGCCCTTCTTGTTTGTCCGTTGCCCTGGGATTTTTAATTTTTTTAAAATTTTATTTGTGTGTGTGTGTGTGTGTGTGTGTGTGTGTGTGTGTGTGTGTGTGGCCAGCTCAGCCCACCAGGGGGCGGGGCTGGCTGGCATGTGGTGCTGGGGGATTGAACCGCGGTCCCTGTGCTTTGCTAAGCTTGTTCTAAGTAGGTGCTTTAGACTACTGAGCCATCTCACCAGCCCCGCTGCCCTGGGATTAATCTGCCTATCCTTGTACCCTGCAGACCAGCAGAACTTCACAGTGACGCTGGACCAGGTACTGATCCGCTGCTTGGCGCACCAGCAGCACTGGAGCCACCTGGGCGAGCAGGCCAGCCCTGCCCTCCAGAGCACCCCGCAGCCCAGTGGGCCTGTACCCCACTCGCCCCACCGTGGCAGTGCCAGCTCCCTTGTCTTCAGCTGTGTCTCACATGCCTTACAGTGGATCAGCCAAGGCCGGGACCCTGTCTTCCAGCCGTCTAGTCCCCCAAGGGGCTTCCTTGCCCACCCCACAGCAAGCAGCGGGGCCAGTGTTCTGCAGGAGGCTGGTGCCATCCACGTGCTGGTCACTGGCAGCCTGCACCTGGTGGGTGGCGTCCTCAAGCTGCTGGAGCCCTCCCTGTCCCAGTAGCTGTGGCCACAGATGGGGGGAGCCCCCCCCATAGCCGCCCTGCCTTGTCACGAACTCACACCAGGTGCCTTTTGGTCGCGTTCTGCTTGCCAAGCCTGCTGGGCTCTGGTGTGGATGGGTGGGACAGGGCACCATCCTCTCAGAGCCCTGTGCCTTGGCTCACCCTCCTTGGGGCCCAGTCCCTCTCCCCCACCTGGCTGGCCCTGTGAGCTGCCCAGCTGGCTCAGGTTCTGCCACGTGCTGGTGACACATCTCTTCCTCAAGCGCCTTGTGGGAAAGGAGAGGGCCCCTACCTGGGGCCCGCCGGAGAGGGCGTAGCTGCAGTGAAATAAACATTTGCATCTTATTTTTGAAGAAATGGCAAAACCTTTGGCTGATCTTCATCTGTCCCCACCTTCCACAAGACAATGGGGATTTGGGGGTTTGCGGGTATAGGAACTGTAGAAACTGCACAAAGTCTAGAAACTGTGGGAACTGGAACGGAACTTAGCCATGTGGCCTGGGACAAGCCCTCCCAGTCTCAGGTGGCCCAGCTATGACATGAGAAGACTGAGCCTGGGGCTATTGGCCACACACCTTGTACTACTTTCCAGACCTTTCTGAAACCAAGAAATGGACCACTGCAGGACCTGTATTTGGCTGCAAGAAGCCCCAAGACCTAGTCATAGAGCTAGTAAGTGGCAGGTCATGGGTGGGGCCAGGCTGTTGGAGCCCTTTTTTGAATCTCAGTGTCACTGTGGACAGGGCCTCCTGTGTTCGGTTTACCACATCCTTGCCGTGAGTGTCCTACAGTGAGTGAGCAATAGGAATAATTTAATCCAAACATGTCCCCTGGCCACATGTGCTTAGGATGTCACACCTCTCATGAAGTCGCCTTCAAGAGCGGTACTCTTCTGTGCCCTCCCTTGAGAGACCCCTGCATGCAGCCCAGCTCGGCACTGGTTTTATGTCTGATTTATTGATGGCAGATATAAAGAGGTGGGCCCAGGATGAGGGGCCTGGCCAGTCCCCATCTGATGGGCCAGGGGTGTGGCCCTTGGGGCTCCCAGACCGGGTACCCATCAGCTTCGGTTTCCCCATCAAAGTCACGCAGTGCAAGTTTGGGGGCCGCAGGGACCCCTCCAGGTGGCTCTAGGCCAGGCCCTCGTCTCTGGGATGGTGGCAGCTGCGAGTCCTCAGGAGTTTGCACCTGGCCAGCGCTGCTCATCAAAGCTTGGTCCGGGTTTGAAGGGCAGGGCCCAAGTGTCTAGAGTGAGGTGGATGTACAGGACAGCGGTTTCTCTCCATGTGGCCCTGGGCAGCCATGTCCTAGAGGCTCTGGGTTTAGAGGTTCTGTGCAGTAGGATGGGTGGTCCCCCAAGTTGTTCCAGGCTGGTACCCCCACTGGCAGCTGGCCTCTGAGTGGTGGGTGGGAAGGCGGGTGCAGAGGGTATGCTCCATCCGGGCTGGTGGCGGCGAGCTCCTGGCCACTGGGTCCCAGCTGGCTGCTGCACCGCATCTCCTGCTGGGCGACGGCTGGCTGGGGGGCCCCTGGGGCTCCGGGCCGGGTGCTACGCCATGCTGCTGGTGGAGCAGGGGGTGCTCTGGGTGCTCCCAATGCTGTGGTTGGTGCTGCTGCTCTCGGAGGAGGCTGGGGCAGCTCCCGCCACCACAGGCTCCCGCTTGCCAGGGGGACCTGGGGGTGGGGTCAGGGGTGGAGGTCAGGGTCCTCGGCTGGGGGGCTGGGAAGCTGGGGTTCCCCACCCCCTCAGAGGCTGCACCAGGTTCCACGGGGGACAGAAGGGGATGACGCTTACTGCAGGGGGCCTGGGATACTCACGCGTGTGCGTATAGATGAACCACAGCGCGGCGGTGAGCAGAGCCCCGATGAGGAAGGCGCCAAAGGTGATGCCCAGCACGGCGGGCAGGACGAGGCCTTTACCTGTGCCACCCAGGGAGGGCAGGAATTAGTGCTACTGGTCTGCCCTGCCCCAACCCAGTCACGCTGCCTGGGAACAGGTTTTTATTTAGTTGTTTTAATTTTCTTTTTTCTTTTTTTGAGACAGGGTCTCTTATGTAGAGTGGCCTTGAACTCTCTCATGTCACCCAGGCAGGTCTTGAACTCAGCAAACCTCCTGCCTCACTCTCTAGTGCTGAGATCACAGGCATGCACTGCCATGCCCAGCTTTGTTTTTTTTTTTTTTTTTAATATTTATTTATTTTTATTTATTACATTTATTTATTGTGTGTGTGTGTGGCCAGCTCAGCCCATCAGGGGGCGGGTCTGGCTGGCATGTGGTGCTGGGGGATCGAACCGCGGTCCCTGTGCTTTGCCAAGCTTGTTTCAAGTAGGTGCTTTAGACCACTGAGCCATCTCTCCAGCCCTTTGTTTTGTTTTGAGACAAGGTCTTGCCAGCAGTTCAGTCTGGCCTTGAACTCCCCATGTAGCCCCAAGTTGGAGCTCACTGAGATCCTCCTGCCTCAGCCTCCCGAGTGCTGGGATTACAGGTGTGCACGAAGTTTCTGTGCTCACTCTACCTCCCACTGAGCTGGCTTCTCTGAACCTCAGCCTCTTCCTCTAGCAAATGTGCCGTCACACCCGGCACGAAGAAGTCTTTTTAGGGAGTACAGATAGAATGCTCTCCAGTGCATCCATCTCCTGCGTCCTGGGCGACCCTGTGGTCTGTGATGTCCCATCTGTACCCTGCTTTCCAGATCCTGGCTGGGGGTGGGGACTCTACCCTTGCCTGAATGGCAGGGACTCTCTGCTTCTGCCCCCATCCTCAGAGACCCTCTGGCTGGGGTTCCTGGGCCCAAGAGAGGTAAAGAAGAGGTGAGGAGGTGCGGGGCTGAGGGACATCCTCCACATCGGTGCCTGAGAGAGTACAAGGCCACCATCGCACCTTATGCTCCATCCAAAAAGCCCTGCCTCCCCGCAAGGTCAAGCAGCTGCCAGCCAGGTGGAGAAGAAAGCGGGACAGGGAGCCAAGGCTTCTGATGCCGCTGTCTCATGGTTAGAGACTGAGTCTTCTGCCCGGCTGTCCAGGGCTGTCCATTCTTCCCTCCCAGAGGGCACCAGGGAACTCACCAGACAGGTCAGAGCTGACAACACTTATGCGCATGGAGAGGGTCTTTTGCACTTCCTAGAAGAAGAGAACAAGCGGGGTGTGGCATAGCCCAGGAGGCAGTGTCCAGGTCTCCCTGGCTGGGGCCTGGCTTGGCGCCTCAGGTGTGAGTCCCAACCCATAGCTGGGAGCCTGTGGTGGCACGTCCCAGGGACCTTGCTGCAGGACCGCATCTGTGGACAGTGCTCAGCTGCTGCTGGGTTTCCTGGGAGTTCCAGGAGGCCCCAGTAGCCACGGGCACTGCTATCCTTGTGTGAGTGTGCTCAGAGCCAGATCAGCCTGGATGAGCAGCCTGAAGGCAAAGCCCACTTAGAGGGGCCTCAGAGGCTTCCCTGGCTTCATACACCCAGAGAGAGGTTATGGAGCCTGAGGACCTTTCTGGGGCAAAGACCCGGATGACCCTGTCAGTGTATCCAGCACCAAGGGCCTGAGAATGGAGTCACTGCACAGTGAAGCTTTGACATCAGCAAATGCAGAAAATCAGGATTTTCTGTTCCTCTTCCCTAAAGTCATTGAGATGACGTTGGTGATCAGACCACACATACAGGCAGGTGGGTAGGTGCCTGCGTGGATGAATGGGTGGGGTGGCGGAAACACGGATGGATGGATGGATGGACACGGCAATCCCACCAGAAGGCTGTAGGTGGCAGCAAGAGCGCCTCTTACCAGCTGGTCCCCCTGCTGCTGAGCTGCCAACTTCTCTGCCTGCAAAGCCCAGGCCCAGGAGCCTCCCTAGAAGCCAGGCTAGGCCCAGGGCCCCCTCACCTGGGCCAGGTTCTTGGCTGTTAGGGTCACAGTGCAGCTGAGGGTGCCGGCCGTGGGAATGGGCACCCTGTAGACCCGGAGAAGGAAGCTGAAGCGTGGAGCACCCTCAGGGCCGGCGGGCAGCAGGCTCACGCAGCTACTCTTGGCTGCCTGGCCCTGGATGAGTTCCACAGTGTCCACCTCAGGTCCCAAATCCAGGTGACAGCTTTCTAGCAGGAATGTGATGTCAGGAGTGGGTGGGGACATGGTCACCTGTAGAGGGAGGCAAGGAGACCAGCCATGGGCAGCTACTCTCAATCTGGTGCTCTGTTCACTTGAGCTAGATAGAAGATAGTCCCCACTCCTGTCCTCTCACGGTAGGACAGGCGTGGTCCGCCTGGAACACAGAGGAAGGAGAGTGATATTCTTTTCAGTGTCTCTGAGCAGTGATGTCCCAGGCCATCCCTCCCTAACCTTCCCATATGCATCCAGATTGAAAGGTTTTGTTTGGAGACAAGGTCTCCCTGCATAGTCCAGGCTGGCCTTGACCTCACAACCATCCTCCTGCCTCAGCCTCCCTTCCCAAGTGCTGGAATGACAGGCTTGCACCACCATGCCTGGCCCCTCTGGAAGTTTTATCTTTTCTGCAGCAGTGGTTGAAGTTCAGGTGCTTGAGGGGCCACAGGACAGGCAGGGGTGGGTTGCACTTACCTGCACAAAGCCCTGCTGCCCCAGCTCCATGGTGCTAGAGGCCTGGAGGAAGTTTGAGCTGAGGTAGAGGCCCAGGTGGAAGGAGAGGCCCTCCGTGTGGAAGCAGTTAACATTTTTCTGTGGGAGGCAAGAGGGCCACTGTCAGTCTGGGTGGTTCTAGCCAGGAGGGCGAGGGGCCTTGCCCTGATCCTCACTCTCTTAAAGAACTGGTATTTATCAAAGACACTCTGGGGCTGGTGAGATGGCTCAGTGGTCTAAAGCACCTACTTAGAACAAGCTAAGCAAAGCACAGGGACCGCGGTTCAATCCTCCAGCACCACATGCCAGCCAGCCCTGCCCCCTGATGGGCTGAGCTGGCCACACACACACACACACACACACATAAATAAATAAAAATTAAAAATTAAAAAAAAAAAAAAGACACTCTGGAGCCTGGTTTGTGGAACGCACTTTGCCTGTGACATCTTAGTGACTAGGGCCCGGAAGTACAAAGGGATCTGCCCACAGCTGCCCAGCTAGTGTTAAAACCTTCTTACTCCTAAACCATTACAGAGGGAGACTGAGGCCTGCCGAGACACACGCTTTCCAGGATCAGGGTCTGAGTTGCCTCCTTTTTTTTTTTTTTGAGACAGTCTTGCTACGTATTTTAGGTTGGCCTTTACTTCACTGTATATGGCCTAGGCTGGCCTTGACCTCACAGCAACCTTCCTGTCTCAGCCTCCAGAGTCCTGGGGTTACAGGCATGCACCACCACGTGTGACCAAGGCCTGAGTCTTCTGACGCCTGCTCTTTCCCCAGCCCTCCCAGCCTGGACCCTGCGGGCAGCACGGTGCCACGGTACCACCCCTTACCCGCAGTGGCAATGCGTCCGACAGGATATTGATGACCACCTGCAAGAACAGAGTCAAGGAACTGTCAGAGCCACAGTGGACCCTAGATGGGCCCCGCCCAACACCCATGTGCCAGACGGAAAGGCCGAGTCGGCCGGTGGCCAAGCCGGTCCTGTGTCCCCACTGAGCACAGCCTTGCTCCCCAAATGTCCCTCAGCCCATAGCACCAGGGAGCAGCAGCAGGGACTCCCAGCTATCCAGGTCCCAACACCTTTCCAACCTGGCACTTACCTCATTGCTGATCACGTGTGGTGTCATTCTCATGCCGCAGCTTGAGTAGTCACTGCGCAAGACCAGCTGGTCACTGCTGTCCTCAGCCTGGCACTTGGGGTCCCAGAAGGTCAGGCTGGTGATGTGGCAGTGTAGAGCCTGGGGCAGGGAGGGCACGTCATCAGGAGGCGGAAGGCTCCCCAAGGTCCATCCGTCAGCCCCATCCAAGGGCTCCCGCATCCGCCCCTCTCGGTCCCTGGTTGTTTGGTGCCACTGCGTCACCCTACCCCACTTACAACCTCACAACTTGGGTGAACACGTTCCCTTTTGTTCTGTGCTTGTCCTCAGCAATCCCATCTGTGACATCATGAGTTTGACTTGCTACTTAATGCTTGTCTTCTAACATGGATTAAAAGCGATCTAGAGGGCTGGTGAGATGGCTCAGTGGTCTAAAGCGCCTACTTAGAACAAGCTTTAGCAAAACCCAGGGA